CCCCACAAGGATTTCATAGCTTCCAGTTGCTCTCTGGTGAGCTGACCAACTTTTTCAATTGACACCACGTAACTCTCAATGCTGCCCATTCGTTAACCGTCACTGTCCAACTTAATTTCTTCATCTAGCGCCAATCCGCCCCTTAACTTATCCAACGCATCATCAACAAGCGATTCGACTAGCCGGAATCGCACTCGATCTGGCACGTAATCTCCGTCGACGCGCCACTGAATTGACCTTTCCTCACCATTCTTGCTGACTGGAAAGGTAGTAAGGAAAGACCCAACTTCGCGAGCTCCAGGCATGATCATCCATAGAGTAGACACCACATCGCAGACGTCGTTATCTCTTAAAAGAGCGCGTAGTTTCATCCCGTTATCGTACTCTTTTAGTGCTAACGCCGCCTTCACTTTCATCGCCGTACGATTTAAATGAGGTCGCCCGGCCCTTCTGACCTTACCATTCAGCTTGATTTTTGGTGGTTGGGCTGCGGTCGTAGACATCTCTGTTGCTTGAGTCGCAGGACCAGCCACCTGAGTCGGCGGTACGTCGTCGGAATCATCCTTGGTAGCCGCATTCGCATCGCTAGCCTCAGTATCTTGCTGTTCTTCAGAATCCACTCCTGCTCCACTTTCACCTGCTCCTCCATCCGAGTTGTCATCATCATGTCTGTTGTCACCGTCTCGATTGGGGGCAGAATGCTCTGCCGTGGGTTGTTCATTCCTCAGATTGTACCACCATTGATCCAACTGCGACATCGCACTAGCGAAGGCATCGTCTTCAAACCTCGCAAGCTCACCACTGATGCGACTAAGTGCCTGCTGAGCACGTCTGTATTTCTTCGCTTCACTCAACCTTCCACCAGCAGCTTGTGAATGGGCTTTGTATATCTTAGCCACAAACGGTGCCGCCACCTCTGTCAACTCCTGTTGCGAGAGCCGGCTTTGACCAAACCACCTGCAAAACACATACCTGGTTAATACCTGATGAAAACATGGCCAATACCTGGACGCAAAGTCGACATTCCTTGGCGCAATTGTCAAGAACGGGATAATGAATGGGTTGCCACAGCGCTTTCGGTACATCATGGCGTGTCTGCAGGGAAGCTTCATGGTCTGAGCAAACTCACAGTCGCACAAGTAACCCTCTTTCTCGATAAGATACTCACGTTGACCACCGCTGACAGTGACAGTAGTGCCATTGTCGGTAAATGTGTAGTTGTTAGCAACAGCAGCATCCGTAGCAACATCGTATTGAGCCTTGATCGCTGCTGCCACCCAACGTGTTGTCATTCCCAGCGCTACATTCATTTCTTCTGAGTAGGACACGTCCCGTAAGGTGCCAGGCATCTTGACCTTGGACCGATAGTCTTCCTCTTTGCGTCGCTGGTAGTCCAAAAGCACCTTCAAACTAGCTCTCATTGTAAAGTGGCCTTTGAGATGCCGTTTGAGCTTACCAAATAGGCTCTCCAAGCGGTTGTTGGTGTGATTTCCGAAGTGAGGCAGATCAACGCGATACGCCATCACCCACATCTCGCAGCAGTCGTTCCAGTTTTTGTCAAAATACTTCCACAGATCGGTGCGATCATCTCGGCAAGCGAGGCTCTTAAACTCTTCACGGTGCATATGGTAGTCTTCCTCTGTCCTGGAGTAAGTCATGTTGGTGATGGCGTGTTTCATCTGCGCTAAAACATCCTCGTCGTAAGCTCCGTATGACTTAGATTTTCTGATCGTCTCATGCAACCACTTGATCACGTGAAAGTGGCAATACAGCACCCGAGCTTCGGGAAGCTTCTTGCGAACCACCTCGACTTTGCGCATGTCCTTGTCGACGATCACAATACGGACGAGCCGCCAGTGTTCGTTCGCACGATTGAAATCATCCAAGCACTTGGCCATATGCCAGTTGCCGTTCGTTTCGATTAACGAATACTGGACAGGCTGGCCTTGGCCAAACTGGTCCATACCAACTATCGTAAAAAGCTGGTAGTTGTACCTAGCCATACACAAAGTCTGGTCAAAACCTGGTCATACCTGGGGAAAATCTGTCCAATTACTACCATGCAACTTACGGATTGGTTTTGTGCGTACAGTCCATTTGAATCATCTCGGGGAAGTTGTCCAACATCGCACGCATATGCCCACTAGTGAAGGAAAGCACACCGGTATCTCCATGTGCACTTTCGTGCACCGAAGAAACATTTGCCGATGACTCTCTGTTGAAGTCCATAATCATCTCAGCCACGGCATCGTTATCAGACAACTCCACACCTGCGAATGCATCAAGTTAGAAGGGAAACAAGAAGACAAGACATGTAATCAAACCAAACATTTACCTTGCTTACGCAGCCGGCGAAGTAGATTGTGCACATCATCCATGGAGACTCGGTGCTTTGAGTTCTCTCGAATGTAGTTGTACACGCCTGTTGTCCCGGCTTCGGATTCAACCAGCAGCTCAATACCTGGCATCAAAGGTGAGTCCGCCGGAACCTGGCGAATACCTGGATAAGACCTGTAAATGTCTTCGGAGACTCGATGATTATGGGCGTACACTTCACGCTTCATCACAACGCCCCATTGACCGTCACTACGCTTGGTAGCTTGAGCCAGCATCTGAAACGGACAATCAATAGTACTCAGCTTGTGTGACGTCCGCTTTCCCGTTGATCTGTCACGTTCGGACCACCCATGCGTACAGATAAACTTGCGCTGATAAGGGTTCATCTCTGCAGGGACGAGAGGCAACTCTGAGTCAGGAAGCCCTTGGTACCTCACTTGGCGCCTAAGATCAGCATTCCTGCGGGCTACATTGATCACCTCTTTCACCACGATTTTTTGGCGCGTCGCCTCCATGTATTCCTTGAGAGACTGCTCCAGCGAGGCCCACGAATCATGATGCGCCTTAAATACAGGGACCTGAACCAGCTCTTCATCTTCGACATCGGAGACGGTTCTTTTCTTTCCTTGACGGCGCTTTCTCGTTGGTTCCGTCTCCACTTCATCTTCTTCCACTTCACCCTCTTCCCCTTCGCCCGAAGCGACCTTCTCCTCCTCTGCATCCTCTTCATCTTCCACCGAATCGTCCTCTTCATCGCCCGTAGCCTTCTTTGCTTCACGCGACGTGTCCACACCTCCCTGACCTTCCTCACCATCCTTTCCTTCATCTGCGACGTCTTCTGTTGCCTCCTCCACTCGCTCTTGAGCATTGCTGTCCTCTGCTACTTCAGTTGGACTAGGGCGAGATGTCTCCATGATTTCTCTGGCGTGTGCTCTGTCTGAGCGCGTACGCGCCGCACGCAAGAGAGCGAGGTTACACACGCTCTTGCTCTGCCATCTTTGCCTTGATCTGGACAGTCTTGTGCGTGCGTGCCATCCTCGGTGCGTGGGGGGGGGGGGCTGCCACGTGTCTCCCTAACTGGTGGCTAGGAATCAAAAGAAGAAAATGAGAGTAATTTAAACCGTAAAAACTCTACCTGGACAATACCTGAGTGATAAATCTGGACAAGAGGGGTGTCGTTTAAAAAATCTCTCGATGCTGTCGACGACTGTTTGTTTCTGGAATAATATGGAATAAGAATTTTCTTCGTCCAGAAATATATTCCAGCTGAATAGCGAAGGACCGCGTTATTCCACTGGAATAAAGTATTGGAATATCGATCGGTAATGTATCCGTCATTTATTCAGATTTTATCCAGAAAATCGCTATTTCAAAACTTGCGTTACTAATACCCCTGGGCAGGAGCCAAGTAGAGTGCTAAAGCTGCGCAATAATTTTTTCTCGTGTCGATCCTCCGGTGTGTTGCTATCGCTGCTTGATGTATCCACGCCAAATGATGCCATCCATAGCATTTAGGGGGTCATGTGGTGCAGCGTCGAATTTGCAACACCTACTTGAGTGCGCGTATTTATCCCTTTACCACGATAGATTACCAATACCATTGTGTATGCTATCCACACCTAATCCAACCGCACACAAGACCAGTTCGAGCACGTCGTATGTTCCGACACAAGGCGCTCGAGTCGATTATCGACCATCGCCATCGCAGTCTCGATTTGCCACTCACCCGCTATCCCGTTGCCGCGGTTCCTGTTTCTATCGAGCGTTGACACTCGCTCCAGTAGTTCAAACTGGAAGACTCGCGCTTTCTGGTAAATATGTACTCGATTTCCTCTTCTTACCTTGGAGATCAATGCGGGGGCACTCCGTACGCGATCAACATTGCTCGGGACGACAGTTGCTCCATCGAGACGTGCTCTCCCACTAGCAACACTTCTAGCGCCGACATGAGGACCATCGAATGCGCTACAGACTACATACAGGCCACGCGAGACAAGTTCGGTAGTTCCCCATATATTATCGAGCTGGTTTATGGAAACGAAAACTGCTCCGACTTCAGAACGGGTTACGGGTACCCTGCCTCGGGGACGTGTGCCGGAGGTTACACTGCGAATGACAGCTACTACGTGATTGCCAGTCTCAGGAAAGACGGCTCTGCTTCACTTGAACTCTTTCCCGATCGCTCGTGTTTATCCGAGTCGCTGTACTTGGTTGAAAGCGGAGACAAAGAAGCAGTCATAACGCACGAGTGTGACGCCAATTGGTTCAGATGGTACAGCAGCAGCGACGGCGGAGATGCCAGTGGAAGCATGTTAACATCAGGTTCAACATTAGAATACAACTCCAGTACCGCTCTAAGCAACGGTGACATCCTTGGGATTGTTCTAGGTAGTTTTGTCTTCTTGACCGTGCTCCTCGCGGCGGTTTTTTTTCGACAGCGACAAAAATTAAAGTTGGACGCCTCCACCATCCAAAGTATGAGTGTAGTTAGTGCTGCGTCTCTCGAGGCAGCCATTCATGGACAGACCGGGCTTTGGAACGACGATATCATCACAGCCAAGAGGATACCGAGAGACAAAGTGCAGACGGAGAAACTGATCAGCCGAGGCTCGTTTGGTGAAGTGTACGCTGGGGTTTTCAATGGCCATCAAGTGGCCGTCAAGATGCTGCTTTCTGCCTCTAGAGACAACATCACATTGGTCAGCGAGTTCTTAGCTGAAGCCAAGATGACTGCGACGATGGATCATCCGCATATCGTGTCTTTTGTTAATGTCGCATGGGATTCCCTCACTGATCTCTGTGTGGTACTTGAGTACATGGATGGAGGGGAACTACGCTCGTTACTTAACACCTACCTAGAGTCGAAAACCCCCGTAGGTTTTGACCGAGAGAAGGCAACCATTGCTCTTCAAGTGTGCCACTCACTCACTTACTTGCACTCTTTGATGCCACCAGTTATCCATAGAGACCTCAAGTCTCGCAACATTCTTCTGGATAGCAGAATGAAGGCGAAACTGTCCGACTTTGGAATCTCTCGCGAGCGTCTTGACCGCACAATGACTGCGGGTGTGGGGGCTTCACTGTGGATGGCACCTGAAGTCATGCTGGGCGAGCATTACGACGACAAGGCCGATATGTTTTCCTTTGGTGTGGTGTTATCGGAGCTTGACGTCCATTCACTGCCGTACGCTCGTGTCAAGAAGGAGAATTTGGACTCAAATGGTCGGGAAATGATAGACTCAATTCTGTTACAGAAGGTGGCGCTGGGGGCTTTGCAAGTCGAATTTTCCAATCCAAAACCGAGATCGATTGGAGAAGAGAGCGCGTAATAATCACAGATAAAAATGGTCATTTCACAGAGGGTGCGTCAATTTCACAGATCGTATGTAACCTTCACAGGACATGCCTCCTTTTCACAGACCGAGGATCCCATCTGCCTCAAGGGAATTTGTTACTTAACTTCATTAACAAAACAAAAACTAAACTAGTAATAAAAAGGAAGTCACAATCCAACATTCACCGCAGTGTTATACGTACATACCGATAATCGAGATAGCGCCGCTGTTCGTGGTGTGTGCTGCTTTCACCTGCGGTTGCCTCCTGCGCCTTGCCAAAGGTGCGGGACTGTCAGCAAGGGCACCGCTAAGTCTTCGCCAACCAGTAGAAGACATTCGACCTCTAGGACGTCGCATGCGAAGACCAGACGGTGTAGTTTTGCAGAATGTTCGTTGTCTTCCGCCGCCATATCCGATTTGCAACCGCGTGTTATCACTAACCAATCTGAGATACATGCTCCGGAGTGTTCCAAGTTTGCAATACAATCGATTCGGAACCTACTGACAGCAAGAAAACGCTATACTACCTAGATACATCGGTATTCAAATATGAGGCCGATTTAGATCCTTGGGTATTACGAAGTAATTAATAAATGCGTATAACGACTATTTATAAAAAAATATGTTTTGTGTGTCGTTACGAAACGATTATTTATAAAGTCTTTGTATTCTCCATTAGCTAAAGAAACAAATGAAGTACGAGTGGAACTTTGTAAGCTCCTATGAAAACGAAGTGCAGCTAGAAGATTATCTCGACGCGCAGAAGACATGGTGTAAGAGCAAGAGTCAGCTGGAGATATGCAGTGTTTGTGAATACAATCTCGACATTCACTTTATGCGCTATCGGCTTTTCATTTGCTCCGACGAAACTTGCAAGCTGTTAGGGTCGTGTAAGTGGGTCTTGAAAGCTCTGCAGTGTCAGACCACCGATAAAATCAGTGTTTTTTAAAATTCACACCACTTGTCAGTCTCACCTGCATATCGAAAGCCCGGGGATCTGAATTGCGCAATGAAGAGATACATAAGGAGCCAGGCCGAGATCGGATTGAAGCCGGCCGCAATAATGCACAAAATGGCTGTTGATTTGGGGCTGCCGCAGACCAATCCTAAAACACTTCTACCAAAAGTACAGTGTATGCAACTACAGAAACAAAAGTAAAGTGGACAATGATTTCGTCGATGTGATGGTTGCAAACGCTGTTAAACATCGTTTTCGAGATGGCTGCAGCAAAACCACACCATTTACATTTGGATTTTCGTTTGATAGCAATGGAGAAGCTCTAATTGGTAGAGGAACTGAAGATAGCCCTCTAGTTGTTGGGATTTCGACCAAATCACTGGTCAAGAGACTCGGTCGAGCATCTGAATTTATTTTTCACGTGGATGCCACTTTCAAACTTAACTAGAGGTTTTCCGGTTATAGTTATGGGTTTATCAGATATGTGGAGACAATTTCACCCTGTGGCTTTCCTTTTAGTCTCCGATCTAAAGAGTCCCCAATGGACTCGAGCAATTCGGGTATTGCTGGATTTGTATTACGACATTTCATCACAGAGTGTATCGTTTGGATTCGTGATGATGGATGCAGATAATGCTCAACGAAATGCATTTGAAAGTGTGGCTGGTGCTATTCTCGCTTCCGATAAGCAGCCAACGTACTTGATGTGTTTCTTTCACGTGATGTCAAATGTTAGAAAACATACCGTGGGGTTCTCGGAGGCAAACAAGAGAACTGTATACAGACATGTATACCAAATTCACTACGCGCGAACCTTGGTGGATAAACAGAGTCGCATCGGCGATGCTCTGGAATCATGGAAGGTTAACACCGACTTGCAGTCATTATCCGAGTTTTTTTCGGCTCAGTGGCTGGAGGGGCGCTACAGTAAATGGCAGTGTGTGGAAACTCCGACTGGAATGGCAAAAACTAACAACCCGTGTGAAAACTTCAATCGTCAATTGAAAAACACTCATTCTATGCGCAGATTACTTCATTTGAACCCTCTTTTCATGGAGTTACTTAAAGTGAGCCAGGCAAGATCAATTTTGACAGCTACTTTTGCGACATCGACACGGGCAGCACCCCACATTATTAGAGACTTCAGAAAATTAAAGAAAGAGCGGCTTTTAACCATTACTAGTTCAGCTCGCATGAAAATTGCTTTTCTTCTGGAATCGGGGCACAGTATGGGAGAATTTCGTGTTCAACAACTAAAAGGATCTCCTACAGACCCTCAAAAAAAGAAAACAACTGAAGAAGAGATTGAAACCACAACTGACCACGAACTTGAAGCTGAAGAACAGTCTACTCTGGGGTGGATTGTGACAGCTGAGAGCGGACTTTGCGATTGTAGAACTATGTTAAAACTGGGCTCATGTGTTCATCTCATGGCTGTTAAAGACACACTAGGTATTTCGCTCGAAGAAAGATCCGCCCATAGATAAACCTTTCCGGATAAGAGACCCCACAAAAAACGAGGACGCCCAAAAGACGTTGGTCACGCTTTAAGTCTTTCTTAAAAAAACAGTAAAACACCATACGTCTTTGAATCTTTTGAAATTTAAGATGTTGCCAGGCTTTTAAAAGAAGTGAGCTATGAAATCACCATTCCATGCGCTTTCCCAAAAAAATCGAACGGTACCTGTTAAAATAGGTTTATCGAAGTCCTCTGTTGAGGAAGTTTTTGTCATTTCATCTTGTGCGTTTTGAGCGGCCTCCTGATATTTCACGTATGCCGCGCTAATCCGCGACACTGCAAAATTATCGGAAGGTCCATCCGTAATAGGCTCTGGATCAAAACAGGTTATTCCGCTTATAGACGAAAAAACATCACTTAAGCTTTCAGCAACGGCGACGTAGGCATCATCCGCGGTCGTTGCCCTGTCCTTGTACTTGGAAAGCATCACCGCATATTCAGCGCTTAAAATTGCAGCGTCTAACACACCCTTCAAACTACCAGAGTAGTACGCAATACTGAGGCCGACGAGCTCTTCTTTGGATGCTACTTCAAAATGTTCGTGATGAATTTATGTGTCTTTCATCCACAATGCCGGAGTCACATGGAGGAAAATCAGGATCATCAGTAGCAGCCATCATATCTCTTCGAGTCTCGACAGGGAGTGATAGCCAGGCCTCACGTAAATCGGTACCCCCTCGTCCTACTAGCCATTTCAAATCGGCGATTTTAAGAGGTGCGCCTGTTAGCAGTTTCCGCGCTGAGGCTTGCAGTTTAGCGTAACGATTGCCATCCGTCTCTGCAAACTTCCAAACTGCTTCATGAACAAACATAATTCCGGTCTTTGTATTGAGATCTCTGAGGTAAATTCGATAATGTGGTAAAATCTAAAGGAAGATCATTCATCCTCATAGATTGTTATTGATAGTGCATTCAAGATAGCATGAGTACATGGAACATCTATTAGTGTACTTATAGGTTGTACAATTCTGCCGGCAGATATACGCGCACTGTGGCTAGCATAGTGAGACCCAGTAGAAATCTGCCGGCACCTTTGACGGCCACTTTGACTGGTATACTGACACCAAGTAACAATCTGCCTGTAGTCAGTAGTATAGTGGCAGCAAGTACAATTCTGCCGGCAGATATACGCGCACTGTGGCTAGCATAGTGAGACCCAGTATAAATCTGCCGGCACCTTTGACGGGCACTTTGACTAGTATACTAACACCAAGTAGTAATCTGCCTGTAGTCAGTAGTATAGTGGCAGCAACTACAATTCTGCCGGCAGATATACGCGCACTGTGGCTAGCATAGTGAGACCCAGTACAAATCTGCCGGCACCTTTGACGGACACTTTGACTGGTATACTGACACCAAGTCTGTAGTCAGTAGTATAGTGGCAGCAAGTACAATTCTGCCGGCAGATATACGCGCACTGTGGCTAGCATAGTGAGACCCAGTATAAATCTGCCGGCACCTTTGACGGGCACTTTGACTAGTATACTAACACCAAGTAGTAATCTGCCTGTAGTCAGTAGTATAGTGGCAGCAACTACAATTCTGCCGGCAGATACACGCGCACTGTGGCTAGCATAGTGAGACCCAGTATAAATCTGCCGGCACCTTTGACGGACACTTTGACTGGTATACTGACACCAAGTACCAATCTGCCTGTAGTCAGTAGTATAGTGGCAGCAACTACAATTCTGCCGGCAGATATACGCGCACTGTGGCTAGCATAGTGAGACCCAGTATAAATTTGCCGGCACCTTTGACGGACACTTTGACTGGTATACTGACACCAAGTAACAATCTGCCTGTAGTCAGTAGTATAGTGGCAGCAACTACAATTCTGCCGGCAGATATACGCGCACTGTGCAGTATAAATTTGCCGGCACCTTTGACGGACACTTTGACTGGTATACTGACACCAAGTAACAATTTGCCTGTAGTCAGTAGTATAGTGGCAGCAACTACAATTCTGCCGGCAGATACACGCGCACTGTGGCTAGCATAGTGAGACCCAGTAGAAATCTGCCGGCACCTTTGACGGCCACTTTGACTGGTATACTGACACCAAGTAACAATCTGCCTGTAGTCAGTAGTATAGTGGCAGCAACTACAATTCTGCCGGCAGATATACGCGCACTGTGGCTAGCATAGTGAGACCCAGTACAAATCTGCGGTACCTTCGACGGACACTTTGACTAGTATACTGACACCAAGTAGCAATCTGCCTGTAGCCAGTAGTCCAGTGGCAGCAACTACAATTCTGCCGGCAGATATACGCGCACTGTGGCTAGCATAGTGAGACCCAGTACAAATCTGCGGTACCTTCGACGGACACTTTGACTAGTATACTGACACCAAGTAGCAATCTGCCTGTAGCCAGTAGTCCAGTGGCAGCAACTACAATTCTGCCGGCAGATATACGCGCACTGTGGCTAGCATAGTGAGACCCAGTATAAATCTGCCGGCACCTTTGACGGCCACTTTGACTGGTATACTGACACCAAGTAACAATCTGCCTGTAGTCAGTAGTATAGTGGCAGCAACTACAATTCTGCCGGCAGATATACGCGCACTGTGGCTAGCATAGTGAGACCCAGTACAAATCTGCGGTACCTTCGACGGACACTTTGACTAGTATACTGACACCAAGTAGCAATCTGCCTGTAGCCAGTAGTCCAGTGGCAGCAACTACAATTCTGCCGGCAGATATACGCGCACTGTGGCTAGCATAGTGAGACCCAGTATAAATTTTTTAATCTAATACATTTTCTGTATTTGTAGCTGCCCGTGTGGATTAGAGATGCTGCTGGAATTAATAGCTCTGACTGGAATTAACGAAGTTGACAAAATGTGTAATATATAATAGTATATAAACAATTAAAATGGGAAGTTTGTTATTAAATAATGTCCTCTTTCTCCAAATTCTAATTCATCATTGATATCTCAGTATTTCCATATGTGATTTGAGAACACAGGGTACCTTTCCATGCGCTCTGTGAAAACAACGTCCTCTCTGTGATTTGACGATTTCCATCTGTGAAAAAGTATTTTTATCATTGGAGAACTAGGCCGCGCGTGCATATCTATTGACCCAACAGAGCGACCGAGCGCAGCAGAGGCACTTTATAGACTACAGGTGATGTTATCGAAGAAGAGAATTGTATGATCTCCAGCGCATTAATTTATCATCGATTAGCGAAAGTTTGTGGAAACGTACGGTGTGACTTGTTGGGTCCTCTTTGAAGTTTAAGTGGTAGTCAAATCCTAAGTAAGGTAGTTTTCAGGAAACGGGGATATCATGTACAGGGGTTAATGGTAACTCCAAAATCGGTGAAGTTAATATTGTGAAAATATCACCTGTAGACCAGTTAATATAAAAAATATCACCTAATATTTTCTTTTGAGACAATATGATATTATTAAATATCAACTTAATATTAGTTAATACGATATTATATTTTTTAATGATTGCGTAATCGGGCTACATTAACTAATCAGATGTCGTTAACGCTCGACTAGCTGAAGTATTACTAATCAACCGTGAGTACCGGGACAATTGTGAGTGACGGCAAGGTTGGCGTTGTGTGTTGGCACTGCTGCGCGCATTAATCTAGCGCCACAGGCAGCAGGTTTATTAGACGCACGATGTCGACGAGGAGATCGGAAGAGAACAAGAACAAATGTCTTGATTTCGCTCTATCAACGTTAAACAGCTGCAAGCGTTTGCAGTTTTCCATCTCGATCGCCTTTGTCTGTGTCACAGTGAAATACTAGAGCAAATACTCGTCAGTCTTAAAGCCTACTGCTTTTCTAGAACCTGATCGAAAAAGTTATTTGGCTCCGCTCGGTTCACAGAGGTAAGCTGGCAAGAAACGTACTTAAGTGGGAAAATATCATAAAATATCATGTAGTATCTAATATTTTTCAGTTCTCCGAGCTAATATAAAAATATTATGTTAGCTTTTGCAAAAATGAGTTACTATTAATATTTAATATCGAAAATAGTACTATTACTATCAAAAATATCATATGATATTTGGTTACCATTAGCCCCTGCCCACAGCCCTCAAATAGTGAGGGCTTGCACAGAAGTGACATCGTCGCTATTAAGTGGCTGAAATCAATATTAACAAATGCGAAGTCCGTAAAGACATGACATTTTGGGGGGGGGGCTACTAATATGAGTTTCTCCATAGTAAAACTCGGGAGATGGACCCTGAATTATCTACCAAAATAGGTAAATGATATCCGGATAAGCCACGAAATGTCTTCTGTAAGCGTTTTGAATACGTCGATGTGGACCAAATTCTAGTTTTGTATTGTTTTCGAAACTAGCACAAATTCAACGTATTTCTTTTCACAGAACAATAGCATTTTGAATTTGTGTCTTGGAGCTCCAATGGCTTTCTAAATCTGTTTAAACGAGCCAGTTCAGACTCTTTTAAAAACACCACCTGACCACTTCTAAAAAACTTCAATCGAAGTGCTTTCCCAGCAGAGTTGCGTACAGCACCACAACG